GTGACCCTTTCACTGGATTATAATTTTTCCCTTGAGAAAAACTCACACAAATGCTATTTACTCAGCTACTTTTGGATACCAAGCTGACAAATATTTTATTTAGTAGATAGCTACAAGTTGCTAATGTTCCTTGTAGAATTGCACAAAACACTTGGGATTAAGTGGCAGAGGCACCTTAAATCAGGGCTAAAGGACTGCCATAAGCATAAAAAGCCTCACTGTCAATGATATTTACAGTTGCCATTTCCCACCAATAAGTATGGCAATGTGCTTGTGAAAGTATCCTGCATTCTAGCTTCTTCTCAGCCTCATTTTAATGCTGTTCCAATTCATGAATATACAACTGTAGATACAGCAAAATAAATCTGTGCAAGCCACATGAGACCTTCTTGAGGTATATGTAATAATGCATGCAGATCTTTCCCTGTTCAAATGACAAAGCAGCACTTTAGGCAGCTCTCACATGAAGTTATTTTTTAAGCTCTGAATAGAGAATCAGGCTTTGAATTCACATAGGCAATGCTGTATTGGCTAGAATGGAAAATAAGATTTGTGCATGTCAAAAGCCAGAATAACTGCATGAGAAATAAAGGCAGACACAGAAGAGTTCTTAAAGGCAGGAAAGAAGCTCTCTTACTAAAGAGATCCAAATTAATACAACACCACATCTATATAATTGAAAATACTACCAGATAAAACAACATGTGCTCAGTCTAAAGGCAGTAAGACATTAAAGTTCTATAACATTTTAATCAGAAAATCAAATGCAGGAATTAAACAAAAGTGACTCAGGTAATTATTTTAAGTTTTAAAAATTAATTAGTTTTGCATCCATTTATAATTGAACTTGCACATTAATACCAAATAGAGTTTTCCAATAAGTCCATGAGAACATACTCTGCATACTTAAAAGCAGATAAGCGTTAACTACTTATGAGATATAAGCAGAAATAAATAGCAACGTGACAATTTAATTTCTGATCTACAGCCAGGACCACCACAATAAACTGGAGAAAAGCATCAGAGCAGTTTTTAAGGCTATCTGTAGCACACCAAGGTCTATGCCAATTCAGTTACTTTAAATTACACCTGTTGGGAAGGATGCATAAAGAGCCATTACAGGCACAGGACTGACAGCATGGGAAACTCCAGTTACTACTCTTCATGCTTCTGACATTTGTGCATTAGAAATAGGAAGCATAAAGAAGAGCAAGGCTACAACTGAACACCTTTGCTACACTGTTTCATCTGCTCATCACAGGCGGCATCCCCAAAGACCCTCATATTTGGACGATCCTTAGATATGACCTTAAAAACCTATCTGGCTCTGACATCTCAAACACTGGATCCTTGCAGAAGGAGCCAGCAAGCAGAAATTTGACAGATGCTCTTCAAAGCGAAATACAGCCAATGACTTTCTGTAAGTTCGTTAAATCCTAAGGAAATAAGCTTTTGGTTCACCAGTGTTTTGAACTTGTGTAACCACAAGTTATACCTGCAGAAATCCAATATAATGGTAGCATTTGCCTCCAAATTGTACAGTATAGATGTCTACAAAGCCTTTAGTACTACTGTGAGAAGACTTACCTTTTCACTTAAAAGCAGTTTATTAGATATTAAAAGATACAAGTACACACAAAGCAGAATGATGAATCGTAAGTTTTATAGATCCTACTCTGCAGGATATAGTCAATAGCAAAAATTTCATTATTTACTGATAACAAAAAGTTACATATAGATATCATAGATAAGCCAACTACTTGTCTTCATCTGGAAGTGCCTATTTGCAAATTGGGCCATAAAAAAAAATTCCTATTTCTGACAACCAACTTAAATTTCTTTTAAAAAATTCCCTCAATGATGCTAAAAAACGATTCATGATTCATCTTGTGTGTTATGCAAGGAGGTACCACTGCTCATGTTTCATAGTTGAAATGACGAGCCTTGTATCTCTATGCCAACTCTAGCAGGAAGCCTTCTGTGCCTTGTGCTGGTCTGTATCACAGAGCAGCTTCAGCACTTTTCCACTTATGCCCACATATAGCACATTAAAATTCTAGTTATCACTTTTAAGCGTTCCTCTTCTACTGGTGACAGTACTACCAGTTATTCAAGTCAGCATGCTGCAACTTCTTTACTGCATAGCACAGGGCAAGCCATTTTACTTTTGAGTGCCCTTCCTGCAACCCCACAGTGAGGATTAACTAATATTTCCAGCCTGCTCCTGGAAACTTAAGTGAATTTCTAATAAAGATTTGGTACCTCCTGCATCTACAAGAGCAACCATGCGTGACAGTCTGAGGGTATTTCTGAAAAAGCTCAAAAAAAACTGCTGGAAAGGAAAAATCCCCTTCCAACACCAAATCCATGCATAGCTCATGTGCTGATGACTATAATTATTTATTCACTTTGAAATATACTGTTATGATAGTTAAGACTTACTAACTTGTGGCAAGTATCTGAAAGAAACTGCAAAGCTATTTTAGGACATGAAGCACAAAACATTTAGCGTTCATGTATTTTTTTCCAGAGTCCTTTGTATGTCAAAAATTATTTCCTCAAACAAAGGAAAGATTGTTCTTGGAAGACATACCAAGGAAAAGAAAAATACATGTTCTCAGACTTGAAGTTAAACCCCAAATTGCAAAGTAAGCTTAAAAGGTCTGATCTCGTTATTTATTTGGCAGAAATTGGAACTCTGAACTCACCTATAGCCTCTTACCACTGTCTTTTAGGTGTAGATAAGACAATATAAGAATAGTTGATTTTGCTTTTAAAAATAATGCTAATTCTATTCTATGCACATCTTGCAGTACTAAGCATATAGAAATAACAAGTAGAGATGTTGCCTTCATTCATCCTACACTAAAATAGCAAAAGACTTCAAAACAAAGAGGTCAGTTAAACATCAGGTCCTCTATTGGTTGGGATCAGATCTATTTTTTTCCTAAACAAGCTTTAAAATTAAGATGTACAATGATAATCAGTTTTCAAAACTTTACTGACAGAAATTCAAGTCTAAGAAGCTAGGACTATTTCTTAAAACCTTTGGATCAATAAGTAAAAATCACTTTTCTTCCTGGTTCAACACAACCTGTTTTACAGCTGCTGTTTGTGAGCTCAAGAACACTTTTATGTACCTGCAAGCAATATGAAAGTACTTGATGCATTTTAGAGAACAAGGCATTATTGACATTCCCATATATTAGAAGCTGAGAGAGAAATGCATATTGATACTAGCAAAGTTGTTCCAAAAAAATGAAGAAATAAGAAAACATTTAAGATTTTATTAGATACTTTATGGATGTTGGATTACCCAACTTCAGCAGTGACATAAGGAGAGCACTTCCAAGCTTTGGTATTTTCTGCATTTCATTTAATGTAAATACACATTTTACCAGACAAAACATCTCAGCTGCTTTAGCAATGGTGCCCCACTGCCAAAAACTCTCCCTGTGATACCTTGAGCCCAACAAGACCAACAGCAAGTTTTATTTCAATTTCAATATGCGTGGATTTTATTTTTGTTAACATACTAGTCATTTAACTACTACCATATGGAAACATCAAACTTTATAAAGTACAACTAATGTACTGTATGATTTATTCCCCCAAAGAGAACTTAGCCTTAACAAAATTAAAAGTCCTTTCCAATCACCACTGGTACTGCCTTTTTTTTTTTTAAAAAAAAAAGTCAGGATTAAACAGCAATTACTTAGAAAGCAGCATTATGCTAAATTTGCTCATTTGCAGTACTGACAAACAGTACAATAACTAGATATAGTTATCAGGGGTAAAAACCTTATTAGAGAGAAATAAGAATTAATTAGGGTTGCAACTCTAGAATCAGAAGGTCAACTTCCTAAGGTTTCTTCATGACTTTTTTTTGACCTGCAGATTGTTACTGTAATAAAATGCCCTCAGGAAGTTAACTCAATGGGGAATCTTTTATCACTTACATACACTATATGACTAAATAACATGATTGCAAGTCAGGTTGAAATTATTTATGTATTAGAAGACCTTAAGTTTTGAGTTCAGACCTTTCAGTCACATAATACATAGCAATGGTGTGCCATGCCAGCAGTCTGAACCCAAACACATAGGTTTGTTGAGGTTTCTTATTTCTATTGTACTTGAACATGTTGTAGTAAGCCCTAATCTTAAGTATTATCTGTTAAGAGATTTCTCAGAGTAGTAGCTATGCACTTTTGACGAAAAAGAAGCAACTTTAAAGTTTCAGGCTCTTTTGACATCACCCACTCCAGTACATCCTTCTTTTCTGTGATATTTACGTCACACCTTAGGAAAAATAAATCTGAAAGCATTATCACTTACCGATCTAGATTTGGGAAAAAAGCCTTGGGATACCAAAAAAAACTCCAAGCAACAATGAAAATTCTATTAGAATGTCAAAGTTAAAGGAAGAACACAGAAAACATAGTTTCCTTTCCCCTTTCATTTGAAAACTCTTTTGGAAAAAAAACAAATTTAACTAAAGTGCCATAAATTGTGATGACCAACAGGCCAGAATACTGTTTTAAAAAGACAAATCAGCTTAAACGTGACAGGAACACAATTTAATTGCAGTGTTCCCTGTTGCAGTATAAGACAGGTCATTTTAGACCAACAGGAACTATGCTGGCCCTGCTGGACTAGTTTCATCATGCACCAGGAATGAAGATAGCTCTGTTTCTCCTGGTCACATAGAAATATCCCTTCTCCTGTGTACTCAGCAGGGGTAGAGATGACTGTTACCCGAGGAAGGAAAATCAGTCAAAGCCTGCTGGCCTGACTTACCTCAAGCACTACAGCCTCTGTTTCCACAAAGAGAATTCTTATTTATTAAAACAGGAAGGATACAAGTGCTTGAAGCCACGACCTGGAGGAACACCACAAAGTGCCCAGACAGCTAGAAGGACCTCCCTCCTGCAGAAGGAGCAGCACGCTACCCGGCTGCAGCAAGCTGCTCACAGCAGATAGCAAACTCAACTTCTCACCTCAAACGAGCCGCCATTATCACCACAGCGACCGGGCAGCGCCTTTCCCGCCTTCGCCTCGCGCCCCTGCTTCTTCCCGCCCAGCACCAGAGCTCGGCTCCTCGCGCGCAGCCCTATCCCGTCTGCCGAGCCCTGACTGGCTGCCGCCTGCCCCCCCACACCCGCCCTTTAGCCCGGGGCGACAGCGGCCGTTGGGAGTTTCCGTTGGTGGCCCTCAGAGGTTTGTCTCGGTGGGAGAGGTGGGCGAGGGCGGTGCTGTGGGCCTCAGGGGGCGGCTGGAGGGTGAGGAACTGCTGCAGGGAATCAGGTGAATTTCTCTGTTGCAGTCTCTCTTCGTGGGTAGATTGGGTAACTGTGCTGTGGTACGGTTCTGAGGAGAGGGAGAGAAGTTGAGGGGGGCTGTGCTGTGAGGTAAATTCGGAACCTAAAGGGGGATGCTAGAATTAAAATGAGAGTAAGCATTACAGAGAAGGAAAAATAGCCCAGTCTGCAGAAACAAGATGGCAGCTGCGCTCCTTCTGCCTGTGTTAAGCTTTGTTTATCTTGGGGTTGGAACTAGCAATGGGTTTTGTTTGGTACAGGGGCACCTTCCACTAGAGCAGGTTGCTCTAAGCCTCATCCAGCCTGGCCTTGAACGCTGCCAGGTATGGGACAGCCCCAGTTTCTCTGGGCAACCTGTGCTAGGGCCTCACCACTCTCTCAGTATGGCTAATATCTAAATCTACCTTCTTACAGTTTAAAACCATTACCCCTCATCCTATCCCTGGCCTCATTTTCTAAAAGACTGCTTACCTTTTCTGTTCAGCCACAGTTACGCTAATCCCTAGAAATGCATGGTATATCCTTTGACAGTAAGAACTTACGCAAACCTGTTTTTCAATCAGCATGCTATATTTAGCAGTGTAATTGATGACTGAGGTAAACCTTGCATCATATAGAAAAAGACCAGAACGTAAATTCTTTAAGAGTAGCAAACTTTTCACATATCCTTAAACTGAACTATTTAACTTAAAATGATCTATTTTGCTGATAATTTTTCTTGGAAAAAAATCCAAACACAAGCATTTGTAAAGGAACAAATCCTTTATCTGTATTGTTGGTCCTGGTTTGTTTTGTGGGTTAGATTTGAAATGTGGTTTTGTTTTTTTTTTTTATTTCAGAAAGTCACTGTACTGGAGTAGACTTCTGAGACATAAAGGTAATAGCTTCAAATCTGCTGAAACTCCTAAGTGTTTGTTACATGCTCTTAGTTATCTGTAATTGAATATGCAGTTAAGATTTACTTAGTCTGAAAGTATTTCAGTTCATTGGCTTTTTAAAATCTCCTGGGTTCATCATTACATTAGGTGCATAGTTTCCCTCATCCCTTTATTTTCCAGTTAATGCTCAAGACATGAACAAAGTGCACCTTAGGTTTACTTGGATACATTTAGGTCCCAGTGAAAATCCTCATGTTGAAAGCATTTGGGTTAATTTTACTCTTTAAATTTAGCAACAATATTCATATGAGTAAATATTTTCACAATTACTGTTGTCCCAGAGAAGAAATGAAATTTGAAGCCTAATATATTACTTTTTCCTGTGAAATTTAATAGGAGATCACTGCTTTTTCATTCTTTTATTTCAAACAGATGGGTAAAATGCTGAGATTTGTTAAAGGGAATCTGTCAAGACTTAATTTATAAGTTGATAATGTGTGATATAAAAATAAATAACATCAACATTTTCTTTATGTTGGTAACCATGTTTTTCTGTAAGACCAGAGTTCAGCCTCTAAATTTCTGTCCAGTTCTGCATTTACATTGGGCAAAGAAACAGCATTATTTTATGACAAACGTACACCTTCAGCCTGGTTCATGTTTATATCCACATGAAGTTTAACTGAGATGTTATTCTTTACATACCTGCAGGGATATATGTTTGAAAGCATTGGTGCTAAAGTCTGTAGACTTCAAGCTTATTTTTTTAACACTGTTGATGTAGATTATGCCATAATTTGTTCAAGTGATGCAGATGTGAAATTGCATGGAATTTATTCTTACTACAGTTAAAGTAGCATCAGTGTGCCTTTTTACCTTGCAGTAATGGGTCCTTCCTAGGCTTTTATTACTTTCCCATCATGAAAGGAGCGCCATATACTTTCTGCAGCTTTTTAGCCGAAGTGCCTTTTTCATGTTAAATCAAATGAAAAGTATTCAGTACTGAACTGTTGTTGCTGTTTTGTTACCTGAAGGATTTGCATAACAAAAAAAAAAAAAAGAAAAAATCACTGAAATATCCCATAAGACTTCCCCCCATTATCAGCTTGACAGCTGCATAGTGTTTGATTTAGATTAGTGGCTCATGATGGCTGCTATTAAAACTTTTGCTTTCCCCAAAACCTGTATTTCAAATACTACTTTTGTGAGAAGATGGAGCTTGTTTTGAAGGTGAATTGGGTTACTTTCTATTTAATTTTAGTTCTTTACAAAACATGGCTTTATTGGTTTTCTAGGAATTTAATATGCTCAGCTCAAGTTGAGAGGAGCTACCTAGTAATTTTGCAGCCAAGAGCTCATGTTTCAAAGGCAAAATAATAAAAGTGAGCTAAATAAATTTTGAAAAACCAGGATGTATTTATTCCTTGGCAAGTTCATTTCTTGAAGTCTTTACTTTGAACAAATGGTTGTGATACCCATTTCTCACTCTGATTGCTCCTAGGGAACTGCCCTAAGGCCTACAGGAGTGATTTTCCCCCAGCATTTGGGACTACTTTTAATTAACTGTGCTCTGCTTCTACTTGACTTCACTTTAGACTTCCCTAAATGGATTCTATTATGTCCCTTGTGTTTTTGGCAAAATTCTATGCTACCTTTTTTGGGTTTATTTGAGATGTGAAGCAACAACAGGCCAAGCAACTGGACAGAATAGACCTAATCATAAATGTGAATTATGATTCACTTTTATAGTTCAGTGAAACGGAAGTATTCTCAGTTCTTCCATTTGCTGTATTTTCAGTTCAAATAATACAACTGAAACAAATGTGTAGGCACAGTTAACTAGGAAGGTGATTGTGAAAGAAAGCTGTATCACAAAATCTTGATTGATACAGTAGCTTAAAAAAACCACTTTCTACTAGTGATTTTGGCCTGAGTTGATTTGTAGGATCCAGTTGGAATAAACTGCATTAGAAGTGTTTGAGATGTAGTTTGACTGTTACACAGTCCTCTGTGCAAAAACTAGAGCTTTCTGCATTATTTCCTCAGCAGCTAGCTCTGTGTTGACATGTCTGTTGCTTCCAGAGGTGAGCTAATCCTGGAAATTTCATAGCCATGCTTACTAGCTATTCAGGTCTGAGCTAGGTCACTCCTTATACAAGCAAGATGAAGAAGATCATACAGAAAGATAGCTAGAAAAATTGACTTTGAAAAGACCTTTTTCTAGAAAAAGTTTTTTAGATACTAAGTCTTAAGTTTTCACAAGCTTTTCTGCTGTACTGATTTTAATTGTTTCATACAATTCACATATTGATTTACAAATATGAGGGTCCTGCTTATAACGCAGCTATGAACTCCTTAGAGATTGATTGATTTATCTAAACAATAAAAAGAGATTAAAATACTGCTTCATTTCTTACCTAAATTTTGCATACTTTCAGCAAGCATGAATTAAAATATTTAAATAGCGCTAACTCTAGGCACTCTAGGAACTCTAGGCACAGTGTGCTGTTTTATTTTCATGAGCCACCCTATGCATAGTCTCTGACCTGGCACCTGGAGAAAAAGACCTGTTGCTCACTTTTTAAGGAAAAAAACTAGTCTTCACCAGGCCATAACTTTTGCCTGTACAGTTCTTCAAACTGCTGCTCTTTCGGATATATGATGTACCACAGTCTGGCACCCTAGTTGTTATTTTCCGATTATCCACATCCTACATGCATCTGTTAACTAGATGCAATGCTAGAGCTTGGATTTTAGGAGCAGACCTTTCCATTTCCAGTTGAAGAATACTGATTTTTACATGTAATTCTCTCAGCCTGCTTCAGATTTCCAGAGACGCCTGTCACCTGCTGTAATGCAGAAATCAGAATAGCAGAAGGCTGGAAAGAGATATGAATCTTCTTGTAAACTGTGAGTTACAAATAATAAAGTTGTGCTTAACGCATACTGAATGTAATATGTACTTGAAATGAAAACAAGGTATTTGGATTATGGTAGTAAATCTGCACTTAGAAGAGGGAATAACTACAGTATCTGACATTTTTGTATGTTATGTATCAGAAAAGACTTTAATAATGTCAGTCGCAGATAAAATTCTTAGATCTTTCTCCAGAGAATATATGCAGGGAACAAAACACTTGCTAGGGTTCCTGTCAGTTATTCAGCCTTGCTGAAATACTCTTAAATTATGGAAAACTGAAGTGAAGTGAGATCTCTCTTGTAAAAAGATGATAATTATTAGCCAACAAATTTCCAGTAGTGTTTCACAATATATTCTCATTTTAAATATTGGTAATAAGTGTTCAGTGGAAAAATGGATATTAATTAAAGCAAAGGAAATGTTAGGTCATCTAATGAAATTGATGTCAGAGTGAACCAGCATGATGAGGGATTATGTTTAAAGGCATGGAAAGTGTTTGAATCTGTATTGGGTAAAATGGTTGTCTTTTTCTGATTTGGTGTAGCACTGACTAAGAAGCGTTTATGCACCATTTCCTGAGCAAACAGGTAGATTCACAACTGAGTTCAAGGAAGATGTTCAATCCAGATATACTGGCAAAAGGCAGAAAATGTGCTTTGGATAGCCAAATCCTGCTTTAGGGAAACCTGTCTTCAGGGAAGAAGATGCTTGTGTGCCCATAGTATCCACTAATTTTTCCAGTCCTCAGATATACTGCCTTATAGAGATTTCAAAAGCTAGAACAAGTATAAAGGCCATATAGGATATATTTCATCAACTGTAAAGTTATGCAAAGCTGCTAAGAATGTGCTTAGGTTGAAGCAGGGGGTAATCCTGTCCTATGGGATTAAAAGAATGAATAATCTAAACACAGTTAGTACTTTCCCACATTGGTTCTGAGACTAGCAAATATTTAA